TGTGTGTGTGTGTGTGTGTGTGTGTGTGTGTGTGTAAGCCTCTATCATTATACTTGCAAGTTTCTAATTAAGTGACCCAAATCTTCTTTTATGTCTGATATCAGTGAATAGAAACCAGCAATGGATTATTCAACACAACTTAATACAGACAATAATTGGAGAAAAGTACAGTGAAAAAAAAAATATAGGTTGCACTGTAGAAAATATGACTCTTACATGTTAGGCTTGACTTCTGAACCCAAAAAGTAGGTTTAGAGAAAATCATTCATTTGTAATATATAGCCATCTAGTTGGGAATAATTTTCACAGATATTTTCTATTATTAGTAGTTATACTGCATCTAAAATCCTTCTACCTTCTTGTTAACCTCTTTTCTAGCATTGCTCCCAGATCCTTCCAACAGTAAATGAGATTCTGTTTCCTGCCATGCTTCATTGTAAGAGCTAAAAAAAAAAAAAGGGCACTGTATAAATCAAAATTCTAAACTTAAGAGCAGAAAGGAACTTGCTTAATACCTATGGAATAGAAAGCTCCAAGTTTCTAAATATATAGACTCTCTTTAACTTTCTGTTTCATTTTTTTATAATTTTTCAATTCTTGGAGTAGAATTTCATGTCTGCAAGACATATGTATTAACAGCAATAGAATATTTATTTCATGTGGTATTATAGACATGGGGGAAGTATTGCCCAACCCAATGTGAAAGAGTTAAGGGATTAATTTACCATGTTTACCCTGTAAACACTATTAAACCTTTTATTAAAGAGTTGGTTGCATTATCAATTGGTTGCATATTGGTGTTACTAGAATTTGGCACACTAACCAAATATTTGAGGCAGCTGACTAATTCAAAATTCTCAGAACTTAGCCTTACTGAGATCAGATCAAGGATTGACAGGCTGATCCATGTAATTTTTTTTCCTGCTAAACATTTTAATTGTAAATTAAACTTGTAAAAATTTTCAAACTTTGTAAATCATCTGTTTTGATTTCTATTTTAGGAACAATTTTTTAAATTCTTTGCCTGAAGAAATGGAATCATTGGTAAGACTACAAGTGATCAATCTTTCCTTTAATAGGTAAGAGAAAAGATGATTCTAGTTGTCACTCTGGAAAATATATAGGTCTTCCTTAGTAGAGAAAACAACTAAAAGAGGCAAAGAAAAAGGCCCCTTACTTTTACATTATTTCAATATCCAGATTTTATTTTCACTTAGTTCTGCTTAGAATTGAAAGTGTTGTTGCTGTCTTAGAATTCTTACAATTGATAATCTAACAGATTTTTTATTCCTTTTTACCACTCCAAGAAACCTGTAGCCTAGTAGGAAGACAAATATGCAAATAAATAATTATACTTGCTGTAAAGGAAGCACAGCACATAGGAAAATGTGTCATCTGAGATTACCTGAAGGTAGAGGAGGTAGAATTGAATCAGAGGTTTAATGATAGACATTTGCCAGATGCACAGGGAGAGGGCATCCCAGTTAGAGCAAATAGCATGTGCTAAGGCACAAAGATGTGAGAACATTGGGTGATTGGAAAACTTCAAGAAGCTCAATGTGCCTATGACCATAAAGTAAGGATGTAGAGGAGTAGAACTAACTAACAGATGATGTTTGCCATGTAAGTAGTAGCCAGCCCTAGAAGAGTTTTTTATGCTAAATGAAATTTAAGATTTTATTCTACAATCAAGATACTGCAGATCAAGATATTGTACTATCAAGATACTGCAGATAATTGAGTAGCTAATTTTTATTGGTAGCTTATTATCTGCTTATGCTGTACTGAGTACTTTACATATACTGTCTCATTCTTATGAAAACACTACATGGTAGTTCTGTTATTATGTCCATTTAAAAATCAAGGATTAGAAATTAAATAACTCACCTAAGCTCTGCATAGATAGTAAATTATAGAGCAGGGATTTGAATCTAGATGATTTGATTCCAGGAGTTGGGCTCTTAACAACTATGTCATGATTTCTCCTATGATGAAAATTGATTCCGGTAGCAATTTAAGAAAAATACTAATAGCTAAAATTTACTGCAACCCAGGTAATATCCTAAAGTCTTCAAATATATTCATTTAATCCTTATAAAAAGTGTGAACATTTAGTACTAATTTACAGATGAGGAAGCTAATGCATAGTAATGTCAAAATACTGCTTCTTTTAATGTTTTGTCTGCTCCATTATTTTTACTTTCTTGTGTGTAGGTTATACCATTATTGTCATTATTTTAAAATATATGCACTTTTCAGATCTCTCCCAATTTTTACTTGTGAATTGAGCTATCAGTTTTCTCTTGAGTTGTCAGTTGAGCTATTAATATCAATTGCATTACAAGTGATGTCTTTGGGGAGGTCGCAAAAGCTAGCCCTAACTTCTGTGTTAACAGGTGAGCTACATCTTTTATAATTACCTGCTCATGGGTTGAAGAGAGGAAAGAAAATAAAAGCTACTGTTTAGGGGCCATTTGGTTTATCTGTACTCCTGGTATTGGCTCTCCAGTCTCACTGGAACTTCCGAGCTACCTTGAGTTTACTCATCCCTGTTGCTTCTTTTTACATCAAGGCAGCAAAAGAAGGGCAGTATGAGGAAGTGAAAAGGCCAAAGCTCTTCTGAAGCCCATCCATGTCTTTTCTGGTCCAGGCTGCAGTTTACCCCACACTAAAGCTGTGCCAGCCTCTGTCCCCTTAGGAGTCCTCAGTGATTTTGTGTTAATTGCAAATATTGCTCTGAGAGCCATCAGCCTTCCCATCTCTCTCTTGTGGCATCTTCAGGGTTGCTTTGGACTAGGAAGCCAGCAGTCTATGCTAATTTGTCAGCTTTTTAGGAACCCAAAGTACACTAATTTTGGAAGCTTCAGTCACAACAAAATATAAATCTCTAATTTTACTTAATATATTGGCAATGATTCTGTTTGTTTCATAAGACGTAAAAGTGAACTAAGGAAGAATACCTGCATGGAAACATTATATGGAGAATTTCAGGAAGAGATTTCCTTGTCTCTTGAATATGAACAGAAAAACATGAGAGAATTTACTCTGAACTTTTCTTTGATTTTATACAATAAATAGTAACTGTTACAAGGCTGTCCACTTAACATATATTTCAAGGTTTCCAAAATTAGTCCTTTGTTTTTAGCTTCTGGAAAATTCAAATACAAAACTTACGCCAAATGTAAAGTAACATACACTAAAAAAATTATTTCATGATATCAAATTTAAGATAATCTATTTTAAGGAATGATTTTGATCTCTGATTCCAGTATAATCATATGTTCTGTTCATTTATTAATAGGTTCAAAATACTACCTGAAGTTTTATATCGTATCCTCGCACTTGAAACTGTTCTGATTAGTAATAATCAGATTGGATCTGTGGACCCTCAGAAAATGAAGACAATGGAAAATCTGACCACATTGGACCTTCAAAATAATGACCTCCTACATATTCCACCAGAACTTGGTAATTGTGTAAACTTAAGGTAACTGCACCATCTTCTGAGTTCTGTTTATTTGACTGATTTGTTAAAGTGATTTTTTTTTCCTTGCCAAGGTAAACTTGCAGGAAGTTGAAGTAACAGATTTAAATATCCCATTAAAAATAACATAACAAAATCCAGAGTCCCAATTTCATTTTTCAAGTTTTACCAAATACATTTTTTAGCTTTGTTTATATGGTATAATATATATATATATGTATATATATATATAAAAATATAGTAACTGATTATTTCTAGTGGTACTTTTCTCATCACTGTGTATGTTTGTAACCTAAAACTCTACTGCATAAAAATGTCAGGGAAATATAAACTCTTTAGTTTTGCACATAGGGTTATTTGAAATCTGATTACAAAACTACTGCCATTCTATTTCAAGCCCACCTCGGTCTTTCTCACTGTTTACATTTACTGTTCCCTCAGCCTCAGATGACATTACCCTTCTTTGATCAATAATAAACCTAAATGTCACCTTTGAAAACCTTCCCTATTGTCCAAGCAGCATTAGTCCCTACTATGATTTCCTATCATGCTTTGTGTGGATTCATTCTTTAGAAAAGAGTTATCCCAGTGTCTAGAACATAGTAAGCACCCAATAAGTACTTATTAAGTTACTATAAAGGGTGTTGGAGATGTCAACAGAAAGCCAAGTCATTAAGCAGAATGTGTCAGAAGTAATTTTATTATTGAAAACTGTATATTAATGCTTTGGGATTTTTTACTTCACTGGAGCAACACTGGCATCTGCTTTGGTACCTCATATTGGTAAATTATAGGAGACAAATACAGTTGATTCTCATTATTTATGATGGTTATATTCTACAGAGGCACTGTAAACACTGAATTGGTGAATGCTGATCTCCTAGGAGAAGTAGAGGATTAGATTTCTGCAAGAATCTAGTCACATTTTCCTCAATCAATACGTAACCTTATTTTATGTGTTTCTATGTAAAGACACCTTATTTAATATTGTTGACTCATTAACATTGAAATCATGGCCAATAGCACTATAATTTATGCCTGGACAAAGCTTATCTAATACATGTATTTTCTCCATACGGCACATTCATGCTTAGGGAAACTAGACAGCACTTTAGCACTATACTTGAGGCCATTTTAAACAGTGAAATAACCAATAAAAAGTACAAAAATTTGAAAAATGTGGTACTAAATGGACCACAGAAAGGGTATTTGTTTACAGTAAGAAGGCAAGAGCATCACCTTGCTTGACCTCAGCTGAGAATGTGCCCATCAGGTGACTCAAACTTTTTGCTGCTCTGTGCATATCCATGAATGATATTGCAAGTGCTACACATAATGACTTTGGGGTTACAAATTTTATTGAGTGGACAAATTTATAAATATGGAATCCATAAATAGTGAGAATTAACTGTAATCTAGATTGTAAACCTTTTTCTAGAAATTAAGAAAATAAGCATTTAAAAGAATTCCCAAGAAACATAGAAATATTTTAAGATGTATTTTAGATCAACTATAATATGGTGTGAGTCCTTTGACTTTTGTTCATATAAACAGTTAAGCTATTAAAAATTAATATAAAATCTGTTCTATTTAAAGATATTCATTATATAAAACAAAATAAGCCCATAAATCTTAAATTGAACCTTATTTCAGAACATGGAAATAGATTTATATATGTGTATCTGGTCAAGTGAAGGAGAGGACAGACATTGTATTAATGTTTTAGGGAGGCAGGGGTTGGCGGTGGTGGTGATAATACATTGATTACATTATAGTCCTTGGCATGGGTACTTGTGAGTTTATTCATACTTGTCTAAATCTAATTTGACCATTTAGTATATATAGTCATTATAAGATCGAAAAGAGGCTGGATAGAAGGGTGATTCAATTCATAGCTTTTTGATCTGAGATAAGTTTTTCCTACCTCCCTAAACCTGTATTTCCTCATTTAGAAAATAGGAATATTAATGGTCCTACATCATAGGATTGTTAAGAGAATAGGATTAAGAGTTAGTGAGTGAAAATTACTTAGCTCAGTACCTTTCACATAATATTTAATAAATGTTTTGGTTCTTTAGTTATAATTATGTTTAAATGCTCAGCTTTAAAAAGGGGCAAATATTTAAAAATACACAAATTTTATTTATAAAATTGCAAATGAAAATAGAAGAAAACCCTTGCTAATGGAAAATGTTTAAGTTCTCAATTTCTCTCTTTTGTTCAGAACATTACTACTAGATGGAAATCCATTCCGTGTCCCTCGAGCGGCCATACTAATGAAAGGAACAGCTGCTATACTGGAATATTTGAGAGACCGAATTCCTACTTAATTTGGAGTTGTTTCATAATCCTGGTCAGGTTGATTCTTAAAAGGATATAACATTTTGTTGTAGTATTATCTTAAATATGATTGCTATACTCTTGTAGTTTCCCAGTATCACCTAGCCATTTGTATAATTGGCCCGGGCCATATTCACTGCCATTAGATATTTTTACATTAACAGCTATTTAACATTTTTCTAAGGTGGTATGTACATTGATAATGGTGATAACCACATATTATGTTCATACATTTGTTCTGAATATTTTACACAGGATTTATCCCACTCACTTTCATTTTCTTATAGCAGGCAGTTTCTTTAAAAGTGAATTTTTATTTAATGTGATTTGGTATTTTTGTAATAACAAAGCATTTTTGTAGAACTGGATTTTTTTTTCATTTCTTTTTGTATTCCATATAATGTGACCAATTGACTTGAATATGACTATCCAATGTCTACCTTTTTATTAGATATAAAATTGAAATGAATTTTACAGAATACTGGTTTTTGGCATTTAAAAAAAAATAAGACCTTTCATTACTCGTGATAGGATTTTGTGATATGGTTGATCTCAGTACAAGTTTGAACATTCACTGTCTTGTTTTTGTTTTAATCTAGTTGAAATGTTTCTTTTCTAGTTATTGGGTAGGTTTCTTTCCCCTGTTTTATGGAATTATTTTATCTGGGTTGTTAATGTCTGACACTTTAGGTCTGATGAAATAGTAATTTAAAAAAAAAGGGTTATGGCCGGGCGCGGTGGCTCACGCCTGTAATCCTAGCTCTCTGGGAGGCCGAGGCGGGCGGATTGTTTGAGCTCAGGAGTTCGAAACCAGCCTGAGCAAGAGCGAGACCCCGTCTCTACTAAAAATAGAAATAAATTAATCGGACAACTAAAAATATATAGAAAAAATTAGCCGGGCATGGTGGCGCATGCTTGTAGTCCCAGCTACTCGGGAGGCTGAGGCAGGAGGATTGCTTGAGCCCAGGAGTTTGAGGTTGCTGTGAGCTAAGCTGATGCCACGGCAGTCTAGCCTGGCAAGAGAGTGAGACTCTGTCTCAAAAAAAAAAAAAGGTTGGTAATGTCACAGAAATGTACTCAAGATACAATTATTGGAGAAAATAGTGTAGAATTTAAACTTGACAGTATTTTTAATGATGTCTTGATATTGTTTCCATACAATAATCTTTAGATTCAAGACAATTAAAGAGATTGGATCTGCATACTTTCCCTTCAGTGAGAGTGTGAGCATTTAAAAATACCTTTTGTTTCTTAAAAAAAAAGTACTGAAGACCATATCTTATTGATTCTATAGATAACAGCAACAGAAAACAACTAATAACATATAAAATGTACTTTTTTTAAAGACTTATTAAGCAGTTATTTGTATGCCTAATCCAGTCTGTGTGTGTTTTAATATAACATGGTACGTTTTATTTCCAGCATCTTAATTTTAAAATTTGCTTGTGATCTTTTTTTTTTTTTTTTTTTTTTGAGACACGGTCTCCTCTGTCGCCTGGGCTAGCGTGCAGTGGCATCATCATAGCTCACTGCAACCTCAAACTCCTGGGCTCAAGTGATCCTCCCGCCTCAGCCTCCAAAATAGCTGGGACTGCAGGTGCGCACCACCACACCCAGCTAATTTTTCTATTTTTAGTAGAGACGGGGTCTTGCTCAGGCTGGTCTCCTACTCCTGGCCTCAAGCAATCCTTTCACCTTGGCCTCCCAAAGTGCTAGGATTACAGGCATGAGCCACTGGTCCAGGCCTGCTTGTAATCTTGATAAGACTAAACTTGCAGTCATGCAGTAATTTTCTAAAAGGGAATTTCATATAGGCAAACTTAATTTAATAAAAATTAAATGTAAACATTTTTGTTTATACCAAAATTATCAGAAGTAGGGTAATCAGTCATTATAACACCATATGATTATATTAAATAGCCAATTCAATAGCATGTATGTCAATTTCTATAGATAGGTAGATAGATAGCTTTTGGATAATTGGGGCATGCTTATGTTACAAAAAAAATCACTGCTAATAAAGATAAATACTACATGTTCATAATAAAAGTTAGATTTTTCAAATATTGATTACAATGTTTATGGTTTTGTTTTTTAAAAAACATGCCCTTTTCATATCACAACTCTGTCACTGACTAAGAAGTCTGCTTTGATAGTAAACAAAAGACACTTTACAATAAGGTGACATTTTATTATTTATACAATAAAGAGACTTTTATGTTATTCAAAACACTTTTTTAAATACTGAAAAAGTTGAGTACACCAAAGCCGAAAAATGGCTCTGCTATACACTGCACAGCATTATTTTAGTCCCTGTATTTTGTATCTGTACAGAAAGCATCTTCAAAATGCATTCTAATCACATTGTACACCTTTACCAATTAGTATCAACACATAAAATAAAACTGGAGAATACAGCTTGCATTTGCAAATTAACTGACAAAGTAATTTCACTGATCAGTAAATTTAAAATATAGATTCATAGGACTTCTTTGCACATAAAATGAAGCAGCTTTCAAGGTCATTATGGTCTCATACTGCAAAAAATCCATTAAGTACATTCACGATCTATGTTAATAAAGTAGTAAATATGTCTTCATTCAGTTTTATTTACATCAATATGTAGTTCAACTAAAAAGTAGTCATGATATAGTAGTCTTTTAAACACATACAAAAATGACAATTTTTATATATAATTTAAGCTCAAAATCACGATTATCTCAAAATATTAATTACAATACAGCCATTTCAATTAAACATGTTATGATTTATTTTTTTATAAAATGGTAAAATTTTTTTATTAAAGTAAGCAATTTGTTTTGAATTGGCTAGAGTACACCCAAGTAGAAAACCTTAAATGTTAAGAGGTGTTTCCTGCCCCCTCCCACCCGAATTTGTATATAGCCACCTAGGCTAGCAAAGAGACAGAAAAGGCCCCAATTTATAAAGATTAAGCCTCTTTTGCTGCACTGCTGTGGCTTGTTAGTTTGTCCATAAAAGCTTTACAAGGGGCATGTCAATAAACTATTCAGTGAAATGCATGCATTAATATACAGTATGTCTATGTAAAATGTCAGTGTTTACTAATGCACATTAAAATGTTCACAAAGACTGCAAAAGAAGTCATAAAGAAGCACTTTACCACTTGCATATTGTAAATTTGAAAACTATAATATAATGGAATTTCTTTGAAATCAGATCCCAATTCAAGTTCTTTCTCTGGCTAAAGGAGCTCTTGGCCTTCAGATGTCACTGTTGTGCTGCACATATGGTAGTGAAGTCAGATGTCATAAAAGAATATGAGTCTAGAGACTGTCTTCGTTTTACTAAAATAATGACTATAAGTTGCATCACTGCCTAGCAATTTTTCTTCAACTTATAGAAGAGTGAAATATTTCACTAATTGAATTATATATATGACCTCAAAAAACGGAAAATTTGCATGTTTGACATATGGGATGATATTAATTTGTATAGATGGAAATAAAGCTTCTTTATAGAGTAATAAAAGGATTATGCCCCAAAATGAATGAGGTCAAAAGTAATCAAGTATCAAATAGTTTAGAAAATAAAACATAATTTTCATGGACACTTAAAACCCCTAAAAACATAGTATATAGTATCCTTTTACTTATAATTCTTAACAAACCAATTGAAAACCTTCCACTATCTTCCTTTATAATTGCTTGTTTTAGTTTAATATTTATTTTCTGTACAGAAAGAGACAATAGTTCATTTGATGATTTATTAATACTTATATACAACTGAGTGGGGGGTGCCCTTGGGTGGTTATAAAGTGAGAATAATAAAACTACAGTACTTGCAATATCCTACAGTAACCTTAGAATAATCTTATTTTGGAAGGTCATTTGTGATGGTCTTTGAATTTTACAAACAGAATTCAGTAGGTTTACCTCTGATTTTCCATTAAACTTGGAAAAATTTTCTTCTTCATTTGAAGACAATGTCATCATCCTTAAGCTTCCTTTAGTCCCTTCTATACACCAAGTACCAAGAGAAACTTGATTGGCTCTTCAAGCAAAAAATATCTGGTTTATCTTTCTATCAGTATCTTTCTCCTTTTCATTCCAAACAGAAAACAGTAAGACTTGCATTTTCAGGGACGCAAATGTAGTTGAGGATGTTAAAGGGAAATGCCTAAACATCATAAAGCAGAAGTGTTAAACATTTATTGCTTTCCATTAACACTAGGTGTCTTCAAAGCTAAAACCAAATTTCCTAGAGTAAAACTTAACATACAACAGTCCTTACTGACATGAACCAGAAGGCTTTTCCACATTCAAGACCAGTAAGAATCCTCTGAAGTGGAAAGACTCTACAAGTATTGAAAATAAAATTTATTTCAACAATAACATTCTAAAAATAAATTTTCAATCTTTCTTTCTAGCAAATGTGGGAACTGCTTTATTTTCTGGCTGCCTGAGAGTTTCATCTTGGTTTTCCTATGGACTTTCCAAAAAATTATGTGTGATTTCCTGACTAAATAAGACATATTCTTTAATAGAGGGCTGGGGAAGGGTAAGAGGGATGGAGAGATACAAAGAAATACAATGTGATTTCTTTTGTCCATTTGTCAAATGCTTTCCTTAATCTAGCTATCATAGAGGTCTACTGACCTGCATACCTGGGCATTTAACTTCATTTAAATTTTAGCTGTGCAAAACAAATGTGCAAAGAAAAATGCCTTCTATATATGTGTGTCTGTACATAGACACAAAACCTGAGTCACAATAAAAGTTTTTAATATAAGAAAACTTTTCTTAGTGTAGGAAAATAACCTTTAAAGAGCCAAAAAATACCTTTGTACAATATAAGCAGCTAACTTTAAAACTTCAGTGTGCTTAAGTATTACATATTTTATAAGACCCAGCAAAAGAGGGATCATTTATGCTTGATAGTTTCTTTAACTATCAACTGAGATAGCCACATTTTTATTTCTAACATTTATTTTCATTCCCCTGAATTCATT